GGGCAACTAGGGCTTAGAGCTTCGGGATGCAATTGTCTACCCAGCAGCCTGTGCATTTCACCATACTCGGTAGCTTGTGTCTCTCGAAGTCTCCTTCTCTAGTCTCGCCGTTGCGATATCTAACGTTCAATCATATATGATACCCAAACACTTTCAGAACTGAACCCTGACCCAAGGCAATGGGAAAAGCCATCGGCAAGGACAAGGTAGAAATAATCGCATAGATCTGCTTCCCTGAACGCCCATCTAGGAGCCGCTACACTACACCCTGCGACAAGAAGAGAGGAGGACCTGGTGAAGGGGTCGCAGTCCGTGACGAAGATGCTACGGCCGTAGATCTGAAGGGTAGCGCCCACTCGGATATCCTCCCAAAGGGTTGGGCTCTAGACTCGAGGCTTGTGGAGCCGAGTTCAGCTCTGAGCTCCGGGGACAGCCTACAGTGCGCATCATCTCTCGCCATATGGGAGTTTCCGAAAAAAGGGGACCACGACATAGTACCCTATATAGGGGGATCCAAATTATAAGGCCCCCCAAATAAGGTACCCCTAATTTTCGGACACCCCCATATGACCGTTCTGGCCATTCAAGCTGCTAGTGTTGTGACATTAGAGTTAGAGAATGCCATTCAATTTCCGAGTGAAGATTGTCTTGCGGATGCCCCTGCTCTCGTCAGGGTAAGGCACCCTGAATACCCACTGGACTTCCTCATTGAATCTTCGGACGGCCTCACAAGTCCAGGAAACTAGCAAAGCGCAGCAACGCCTCCGTTTTGAGGTAGCCTCCGTCGGCGGACGGAAAGCGATGTCGCCGAATGAGCTGTCCTCAGGTCGCTGGACAGAAACGCTGGACGGAAAAGGCACCCAAATCAGAACCTCAAATCCAAAAGTTCGCATGCCTGCTGCAAAGCAGAGGGGTTCAACATGGTACAATCTTGTGTTTCGCCGCAGTGCTAGTTTCGAGGCCTGCCAAAATACTTTGAGTTGTGGGAACCCTTCGCGTCCTTGCGGGATGCCGCTGTTGTCCTGCTTCGGCTCGATGATCTGGCAAGTATCATCCTCGCTGAGGCCGAAGAGTGCGCGATTTAGGGCAGGATGGGATGACAGAGGTGTTTTGAGCCACTCCTAAGAAGCATCATCCGAAGGCCTTTAGGCGGGGTTGCAAAACGAATTCTCACAAGAGCACCTGCTCTTGATCTACGACGTCCAGGTTTCATACTTCGGCTCGAAAACAAGATATCAGAATCTTGACAGAGCATAGGCATAGGCCCGACTTGTACACCAATGTTGCGCTGCCTTGACAACGCTGCAGCAGTGGCTCTTTTGCGCCTAGGCTGCGAAGCTCTTTTGAGCCATGGGCCATGCAGCCATAAGGGGGCTGCCACAAACTGACGCGCGATGACGAATACCAAGCGATTCTGCATCTGGCCATCTTGAAGCTGTAGCCAAGCAGGTGAAACAAATGCACGAAAGAATCGACGACGCTGCAATATTTAGCTGCAGGCGGCATCTGTATACTCGTTGTACCGTGCCCAGACTTGGTGCACTCACATGCACTTGGCAGCGAACCACGTGGCTTTTCGCCCTTCGGGTGTGACCACGTTGACATCTCCATCTGCGTCGAAACCGAGGACCGTGGCCACATCGCCGCCGGGGTACGCCACGCTGTCCCCGACGCTGAGCATTCTGGTGGACTTCGCTCGGAACCACCTTGCCTTGGTGCCGTCCATCTTGATGACCTGGAGATCGCCCTCCTCATCGAAATCCACCACCTGACCCACTTCCCCGCATGGGTAGAGCACTCTATCCCCCTCGCTGAGGGCTTTCTTACATTTGTTCACGAACCAAACGGCCTTACGGCCGTGGTCAGTATGCACGATCAGGTCCCCATCCTCATCGATCGCCGTGATCTGCCCAACATGGTTATCTGGATATGTGACGTATTGCCCAACGCGGAACTCCACACACTTGTGCGTGACCGACAAGACTGGATCCGCTGGCAATTCGTGGCCAACACGATCATTGGAGGTTGCGGGTTCCTGCGCTGCTGTTGCAGGCTCGGAAACCAAACTTTTCATAGGAACTGTCATCTGGCTCACGCCGTAGATTCTCCGCATTTCTTGTAAAAGGCGTGCTAGGAACAGCAGCACCATTACTACCACCATGCGGGCCGCTCCGCGGTAATCCGCCCTGCGGTACACCGCCTGGGCGCAAGCCATGGCGACTTTGCTACCCAGCGGCATTCTCCGTATAAACTACAGACTGCAAAGCCCTGAGCAATATTACGGCTCTGTCAGCATCATGAAGCGTAGAGCAAGTCATGGAGTGAGAAGCGTTCACAAAGGGTTGGACTGGAAGCATCGACACTGACTTGCCAAAGAATCAGCACACCGGAGACTCAAACCCTTGTGCCAAGCGTGTCCTCCAGGTAGTAGTAGATGGTTACCTTTCGAACACCTGGTGAGTTCCGGACTGTTTATCATGGGCTTCCTGGGCCACAAGAGCACTGAGGGGGACCCGATGTTTCAGGGCTTGGCTTTATTCCTTTGGGTCTAGGGATCTTGTAAACTGAGATGTACACACTCAGGCCCAGCTCTCCAGGAAGTGTCTGAGGCTTCGTGACATCAGAGCACCGCTCTTGCACTGCACCTGAACTAAACCAGGGAGCGGAAGTTTTCCAGGTTCGTCTCCACTACGGACTCCTGTGTCTTCAAGGCTGAACAAAGGACAGGCACGGAACAGCGACAAGGAGCGGCAAGAATGCGACCAAATGGCACCCCCGACTTGGAAAGCGGAAAAACACCGCCCGACGGTGGCAGCTCCTTGAAGTAGCCGCTGAAACGCAGGACGTGGCGGTCGAAGGCGTCCCAGGCCGGCAAATCCTGGAACTGGATGTCGGCCCCGGCCTTCGAGCAGGCAAACGCGGGCTTGTCGGCAATGATCGCCCTCCCGGCATCATCACCGGCACACCACCACCACCACCGCCGCCGCCACCACCACCACCACCAACAACAACACGGCCAAAGTCACCGCCACCGGCATCAGCATCTACTTGTTAGCACAGTCGTGCTATTCCTCTTGCTTGTAGGTTTCATCTTCTTCTGTGTCTTAATCATCCTTGTCGCTATTCCTCGTCGTCTTCATTGCCTCTTAGCAAGAAAAGTTAACAGCACCGACGACAATACCTGTGATTGACATTGTACTCACTGCTTGTCTCATCAACATGACGATTGGTCAAGACCATCGGTGAATCAGCTACTCTGCAAGAAGTGATGTCTTCCGATGCCACTCGAAGTGTCTGAGGTACGGAGAAAACGCGGGGCTTCTTCTCAGCGCGTGCATCACCGAGACGTCCGAGGGGCATTCTTGAAGACGGCGCGCGTCTGACTATCGGGCAGAGAGCCGGACCGCCAAACGTCCGGGGCCTTGCTCACCTGCAGGGGATGAGGGTGATGGTGACGATGATGCTGCGGACGATAAGGAGGAGTCGGGAGGAGTCGGAGCTACCTTTTTCACACACCTTTTTCTCATCGTCCGCAGTGCGTTCCGACCTCAACCTGGCCTTGACAAACTTTGGTTTGTCGAAGGAGAGACCTTCCTTCTGTTCGATGCGCACGCCGTTCACCACATTCCTGGGCTTAAGGGGTCTCGGGCTTTCGAGAGGCTGACGACCTTCTCTTGGTTCGAGGCGGTGCAAACAGAGGGAATCGGGAATCTTGCAAAGTGAGCTCCTTCACTGTTGGATTCATCTTTGGATTCTAGTCTAGCCTCCAGCCCTGGATCCTTCGGGACTTCGGGAAGCTAGGCAGCTTTGTCTGATGCCAAACCTGCCTGAGAGCTTTAAGTCGCAGAGACTTCCGACATGACGCCGAGACCTCCGAAGTGCGTCTAAAGCCAGAACCTGCTGTGGCACCCCAGGGCAGCCAGGTCTCCAAGTGTTCGGCCTGGCATAATTGTCCTTGTACCTGAGACTTTCGTAGGGAAGTCGTGCACTTCTATCAGCTAGAGGGTCAGGGGTGCACTAACCTGCAAGAGCACAAGCAGGCAGCAAGAGCAGCAGCCTGAACTTGATACCTGCGACCTTGACTCTAGACAACTCAAGTCGTTCTAATATCATTCCTGGTGGCGAGGGTGCAACTTGGTCATCGCTGCAGATACTCAACCAGTCCCTTCACCATCGCCCACCCGTCGTGGCAGTCTTCGCATTACTGTTGCGGTTGGAAGCAGTGAATGCTGGTCAATCCGACATGTTACAGAACCCTGATATTGATCGCCAACAGCACCTCAGCTAGCAAAGCCCGGTAAACTACACTTCCAGCCCTCAAGACCAACAGCTTCCAAATACCAGGCGCCTGGCCCTGACCAAACAAATAGACCTGCGATGCCTAAAGCCCCTATACACCAAAACTCAACATCTATGCCCGGCTTCGCAGGCCCCTTTCGTGGCTGATTCTGAGGGGATATGTGCAACTTGAAGTGGGCAGATGCAACCTGGTTGACGTCGTAGCAACTCAAGTCCCAGTGTCACTAGCGGGCTTCTGTCCAGATGCTAGAGAGAGAGAAGGGACCGAAACGGAGAATTCGGAAGCAACAGCACCTCTGCCTAAGGCCCTTGCTCTGGGAAGGTGTAGCCAGGAAGGTTTGGCAGCGATTTCAGATCTGCTGGTGACACTGCCTTGGATGGAAAAGTTACATCCATTACTTCGACTTTTGTGGACCGGCAGAATGAAGTCTTCGAAATTCCAATAGTCACGCACTTCAAATTCTACAAGTACTGTCTAAAGCTATGAGTGCGAGTCGCAGATGTCATGGCGGCAGGGACCTGAAAAGCAAGGCCCTGCCCCGCGAAAAAATCACAGCTGCGAGCCCAAAACGGCGAGTCCAGAAACTGGATTCCGATGCGTGCTCGACAAATTCTTTGCAGTAAGCACAGCGCTGAAGAGGCATGCGGTGCCGTCCAGTTGAATTGCACACTGCCATCGGGCTGAATTATGTCGCACACGACTACGGGGCCCTGGCAAGGAACATCTCCTCCTCACCCTCCTTCTCGGCATCCTCGCGCTCCTCCATCTCCATCTCCTCCACCTCTATTCTCTCCGGCTCCTTCACTGGGTTTTATTGTCCACGGCGCCGAGAGTCCGCCGCACCCGGCGGTAGTCATGGACACACCAAAGACCCTGTTAGCCTGGACATGTCCGAAACTCTAACTCGGACATGTATAGCAAGCTCCCACTTCCAAGGGCGACTTCAGGGTAATCTTTAGCTTGAGCTACAACCATCTCGCAGGATTACTTCAAGGCTTCATTCGATTCTGAAGCTCAAAACCTTCCAGTTGAGCTCCTCAGCGTCCTTCTTCTCAGACTCAGGCTCATCGGGCTTCTCATCGGGCTCCTCATCCGGCCTCTCATCAGGCTCCTCATCGGGTTCCTCATCGAGGTCCCCATCGGGCGCCTCATCGGGCTTTTCATCGCTCCTCTCGTCGGCCGGCTCCGGAGGCCTAGGCTCGGGAGGGCAGGGGCCCTCTGCTGGGCAACAGGTGCAAAAGCACGCACGCGCACACACACACACACACACACACACACCGCGTACTAATGCGTAAAAAGGCAAACACATGAGAACATCTACCCGTCTAATTGTCTGTCTTTGTCACTGTCTTATGTCGTTGCTTGTTTTCGTCGTCCTTGTTGTCACTCGTTATACCTTTCTGTCTATCGTTCTGTCTTGCGTTGTTCTATCTTTCTATGTTTTATCCTTCTATCCTTCTGTCTCATCCACCTTTCCATCTCTCTACCTGTCTCTCTGGCCACCAGCACCTCCCTACGGTCTCCCTGCCTACCCAGCTACCTGTCTACTCACCTACCCACCCACCCGCCCACCCACCCACTCCCTCTCGGCATCATCATCATCATCACCACCATCGTCACCATCATGCCATAAGTTTCATCGTGACCAAACTAGATATCCAATAGGATTAGGAGTAGAACCGGCAGTTGTAAGACCTCTCCTGCCAACGGCTGAGGTATTCCGAGGCCCTCACTCCAAAGCCTTGACCTCCGGCTCCTGTCCAGGCCAACTTAGGGTTTAGATTTTCGGGTTTAGGATTTTGGGGTTTCGGGTCTAGGGGCCTTAGTGGACTCGGTTATTGTGATGCTGACTATACAGAAAGTTAGAATCAAGATTTTTTGAGGAATAGCACAGATTTGTCAGTCGTCTCCAAAAACGCTGGAGGGTTCAAAGGGCTTGAAACAGCTTCCAGGCTTTGGGGATTGAGAGGGACATACGATACTGGATGTGGAGTTCAGGCGCAAGACTGCGGATTTCGCTAGTGCTCCCAAGTCTAGCTCCTTGAACTCCAGGCGAAGGAACCCAAACTTCAGGATTTAGGGTTGTTTTGGATCCCGGCTTGTGCCACTGTGCTTGAAATCGGTGAAGCCCTGAACTCCACAACCGATGCGAACAACAGCCACTGCCGGACCTGTGGTGAATGAACCCGCTTCCTTGTTCGACGGCCCTCTTAATCAGATCCGTCTTCTCATCCGAGCACAGGGAAGCAGGCTAACTACGCTGACCCAAATACTGTAGGCCTTAACAGTTGGAATAGGCTTGCGGGGTAGGCTTCCGGGGTAGAGTATACCATAATATTTGTAATAAGGAACCCCCCAAATACCTATTCTAACTATTAAGGCCAACCCCCTATTACCCAACACCGCAGGCCCTCGTTCGCCCGCCTTCGGCACCTCCGAAGCCTGCGCAGGCGCCCCTGCGCCGGGGCGCCACGAGAGGCCCAAACCTAGCTCACAGCATCACAGAGCTTCGGGTTCAGGCTTTAGGGTTTAGGGGTTTAGGTGTTTTGGGTTCAGGGGTTCAGGCTTTAGAACCCGTTCAGGATTCTGGAACGTATGATTTAGTTGATTTCGGTGTGAGGGTCTTGATCTGAAGGATCGCCTCCCTTGATTCTTCGGATGCTGTGCTCGACCTGCCAAAGCCGACGCATTGTAAAGGCCCTTCACTGTAGAAACTAACCCTGCGGAACAGGAACGAAATCGAAGAGAGATCCTGGACACTGCTGCCGCCCCTGTGTTTCCAGTATGTGCGCAGTTCCGATCACGATTGCTGCTATCGTCGTCACTTTCAGACTAAATATGACTGCTGCAGCTACCAATGCTAGCACTAGTACCATGCCGTTCCTTGCTGGTATCACTTTTATTGCGATTGCTATGATCATCTCAACTCTTCTAAGTGTGTTTGCAGAAGTCACAAGAATACGTAGGCATGTCAAATTGTTTCTGCTGCTGTCTCAAGTACTGGCAATCTGCTGACAGTGTATGTGAAGATGTATATACATATGTATACATACATACAGACTTACATGCATACATAAATACATACATGCATACATACACATACACATACACATACACATACACATACACATACACATACACATACACATACACATACACATACACATACACATATACATATACATATACATATACATGTACACATACATATACACATATCATGTGTGTGTATATATATATGTATATATGTATATCTGTGACTATTCTCATCCCTGTTCGTACTAGCGCAGCCATCACTCTCACCGCCATGCAAGGCTCTCGCCTGGGCCCTCCGGGGGCCCGGGCGAGACATCAACTCTGACAAGGCGGCGGGCATGTGCTCTGAGGCCTTTGCACCTGGTGCAGCTGGGAGAATCGGATATCTAGCATTTAGGGCTTAGTCAAGGGCTTGGGGAATCTGGACCAAGGTCTGTCTTAGTGTCTATCTGAACATAAGATAAGACGACCACGGTCAAACTACACTGCAAACAAGGCTGCGACATCGTCTCTTGTCCGAAGAAGACCCCCCCAAACGCTAGACGCGAGTCCAGACCCGCAACCCGAAACCCCGAAACCCCGAAAGGCCTCGGCGAGAAGCGTCCGAGCGTCGCCTGCCCTTGGAAGCAGCTGCCTGCGCCTCGGCGAAGAGCTCGGACACCTGAGCTCGGACGCTGGCACCCTGCGGTTTGGGAGTAGCATAGCGGCACAGCGGTAGTAGTTGTCTAGTCGCAGTAGTAGTCGTCGTCGCGGTGATCGCAGCTGGATGAGGGAGGAGCAGTAGCAGCAGCAGTAATTAGCAGTCGTAACAGCGGGAGGCAGGATGCAGGAGGCCGGAGGCCGGAGCAAGAGCACGAGCACCAGCACTTAGTAGACATAAGTCGTGGTAGCAGTAATAGCAGTAGCAGTTGTAGTAGTGGCAATAGCAGAAACATTGATGGTACTGGTACTGTGTTGCCAGTAGCAACAATCCAAACCAATACCTTAGCCACAGAAGCCACAATGATACTGTTCTACGACAATCGTCATGGGAAAAGATCTACTGAACACAGCAACATCAGCAACGACCAACAGCAAAAAAGGCAATGTTGGTACGGGCCAGTTACGGTCGCAGTATCAACCAGAAGGCAGTAAGAGTAAGCCATAGTAAGCCCGGCCTCCCATAACCGAAAACCGAAAACACTGAGATTGAGGTTGGCGGCCTGTTCCAGCTCCTTAGGAAGCCAACCGGGCCCGGCAAGAGCCTCGGCATGGAGGACTCAAGCTTCTTGCTTCAGGCTCTGAATCTTCAGGAGTTGGTGTCTTCGAAATCTCCGAAAGTTGCAAGCTGAGGCTTTCCCATCGATGACAGTTGAAGGTTTACGCCGAATCTACGCATTCGACTCCGAAGGCTCGCGCCGTAAGGGTCGGAAGAAATCTCAGGTGGAGTACAGGAGGTCTCACCTTAAACTACTGCACCGGCATGAAAGGTACGCCAGTGTCAATTTATGTGAAAATTCCTCGTCTCGTCCTCCTCGTCCTGAGCCACCCTGACCATGGCACTATAATACTTTCTTGCACGCTGCGCTGAAGCTTACTCGCTTCAGACTGCCACGGCTGTGTACTTACGGCATATTGCCGCATACGGCGAGAAGTTGCGGAAGCCGGACACCACAGACACCTTTGGCGTCGGGGCCTCGGTCTTCTCACTCCTCATCCACTTCCCGATGCTCCACGGGAAGCGATTTCCCGTAACAGCTGCAGCTGCTGCAGCCTCCTCCCTCTTCTTCTTGAGGGCGGCAAGCCGCGAGGGCGGCAAGCCGCGACTGGCAGCGTCGTTCCTCCGGCTGTTCCGCCTGTTACATCTCAAGAAGCTCGAAAAGGTTATGCTGGAACTTCGGCAGGAACGGTGTTCCTGCCGAAGTTCCAGCATAACCTTGTCGAGCTTTTTGAGATGCTCGCGGTTCCAGCTCCTCTTCGGTCCACTCCTTGTTTCCAATTGGCGACCGCGTCCATCGGCTAACCACATCCCCGCAACTGGCTGCCTGGAGAGAGAGGGCATCATTGATGCCTTCTCTCTGGAGAGAGAGGGCATCATTGATGCCTTCTCTCGCCAAGAAGCCAATTGCGGCGATGTCGACTTTTGACGTCGTGTCTTGGTGCGAGATGTGGCCTGTGGTCAGTCGCACTGTTGCAATGACGAGGACAAACGACGACAACTCCAAGCCCTCGTATGACAGCTCCAGTTCACTCAGGGCTCTGCCTGCTTCCTCCTCGTTGTCATCCTCCTGCTCGTCGTCGCTCCCAGTGTTCATGGCGAACTTCCTCGGCTCGTCCTGCTCCTCCTCCTGTGTCGCTTGCGACATCTTGGCTGCCATGACCTCCGCCTCCGCCAAGACCTTTCGCTCCAGCACTTCCTTTAAGCGCTGCTCGTAGGTCTTCACTTCTGCCCGGAGAGCAACCACCCTGTCCCGACTCGGTCTGTACGAAAACAAAGCGATTTGCCTCCTGCGCCTTTCGCAGTTCATCTTCGTCTTTCAGCTTCCTAGCCAGCGCCGGCTATCGCTGTCAAAGCCTATTTGCCTCCGTTGACATAGACTCTAAGCGATCCTCGTCCCGCGAAGATTTGGACGGGCTCGGCCTCTTGACAGCCTCGGCTTGCGGGGCCTCTCCCTGCATCCGCAGCCGGTGCAGCAGCTTTCGTTGAGGTTCAACTCCAGCCACCCTGACTACTCTTGCCTCGGATGAGCCAAAAGTGCTGAGCATGGCAAGCACTGTCTCTGCCAACATGCCACCCGCCGCTGAACTGCGACAAACGCAATTCTTGGCTCTGCAATGCTGGCTAAGGCAGGGTGTAGAGCCTAAGAAATCCAAAACCCCTCGACCAATTGATGCTTGGGCCTTCGAGTCTTAAACCCTGCACCTGAAAGACAACAATCCTAAAGTTCTGCCAGAAGCCGTGCAATTGGTGTTTAGTGCTCCGGAGCTTCACGACTCATCGGCACGTAGAGACCCGAACTGCAAAATCCTCCCAGGGCGCAAAGCGCGCACCACCTGGGGCACAGGCCGCTCGCACCGCCGCTTCAAAGGCATCCTCGGCACAAGCTGAACAATGCAGCGTGCAAGGCAGATTCGTGTTGAAGTATACAGTTTACAGGCTTCTGGGCTTAAGGTTTGGAGTTACGGAAAACCCAAGCCCAAGACTGACAAGCACAGAACACATTCACGGGATGCTTTCATATGCGACTCAGCAGCATCCGCGAGGTCGGAGTCAGTGGCGTCGCCTGGGACGCTGGGATGAGGAGAAAGACCGTAATACTATACTACTCGAATAGCCATATTTCAAAACACAATACCATAATGCTACAACGTCAGGAAATGGAACTATGCTACTCGACGATTGCCACCCTCAAAAGCCCCAGACCTAATATTACAGGTATCATAGCTTATGATAGTGTGTGGTTTTATATTGTGGTCTTTGAAAGTTTCATAATATTGTGCAACAAAGGTCACCCGCCAAGAGCGACCCGCCCGTCCGGGGTCCCTGCGCCAGCGCGTGAGCACCTGACTCCAAAGTTGCCCTCCCAACCGCGAATGTGACCAAGAGAAGAGGCCAACACAAGAAACGCAACGAGATCTGTTCATGCTACAGCGCTAGGAAGAAGGCGATTGGCAGCAAGAAGCAGCCCAATGTCAGACCACGAAAATCGTCACGTCTTTGGGCAATCGTGGCGCTCAGCAGGACAATGAGCGTCCGGATGGCCGCCAGCTTTACAGCTCTATTCCAAACAATCACCACTCAGTATGATGACAACCATTGCCGTGATGATGATCCTGATTCAATGGACAGCTTCATGCTTTTCTGGTTTACTCTATTCGCATTCATCTTCGTGTTGCTTCAGCAGACGGCCGCCTAGTAACTATGCTTACAGGAATAGCAAACACAACAACTGATGCTAGCAAACAGTAGGAGAATTAAAACCATCACGAAGAAGGGAACTCCGCCCTATTCTCCGAAACCCCAAATCAGCTTCGGAAGCCCTTAACACGACGGGGTGCAGGCCCCGAGGCTTCTGCCTGCTTCACGAGATCGAAGAGAGATGCCTCTCGGACCTCAAGCGGAACACGAAAAAGGAACAGCAAAGCATAGGTTTTTAAAAAGAAAGGTTTTAGAAAAACCTACGTTCTTTAAATCTATCAATCACAAGGACGCTCGTCTGTTGACCTCAATCGGAACCCCTACTAGTAGGAAACTGCAAAATCTAGACCAGAGCATAATTTCAACCCTCCCTCTTTGATGCTTGCTAGAGGCTGCTAGAGTAGTGGAGCCATGATTACTGGCAACGGTGTGGGAACCTGATCAAGACCCTGGTGCTCATGACACGGGGACGATACAGCAGTTAGCAACGAACTCCACGATGCAATCAGCGACGAAGTTGCCTGCTGCGGCGACAACCACCCCCACTACCACAGTCACTAGAGTCATACAGAACCAATTTTTAAGGGTGACAAGATGTGACAACGAAGGCAGAGACAACGAAAGGATGAATATCTCCATGCGGACGAAGCGCCTTCTTCAGTTTCGACTGCTCCGAATCAACATGCGCCGGTGCTGGCCGCTTGTCTCGCGAGCGGCGCGATTCCTGCCACAACTGAACAAGATTTCTGGGCTAGGAGCTTCGGTGTTCTAGCGAGTATAGCTGACTTTCATTGCAACAGGATTCCGCTGGAGCGAAGCGCCAAGGTGCAGTCTGTACAATGCATATGGCAGGCAAAAATGCAAGAGCTATTCATCGAAGGGTGCAAGCGCGACATTTTGAAGACGAATGCCCAGCTGCACGATAAGATGCTGGAGCTCTTCTCCCCTCGAAGTCTCAGGGCATGATCGTTCTGCTGGGCCAGTTTCGTACAATGGACCACCCCAGCATCCTGACTCAAGGCATCCCAACCCGAAAATGATCAGAGTCTCTTGGAGTCCTTCCGGTCCCTGCGATTGCTGCGCGAGCGTCCTCGATTGCGTGTTTGCCCGTCAGTAGGGATCGAGAAGATGCTCTCACGTCAGATGTGTCGTGAATCTGCAAACCCGCGCTTCACCAATCTGAGATCTTCGCTTCATCTATCTGAGATCTTCTGATGAAGTATAAGTAATGAGCATTCATCCTTTGGATCTAGGATTGCTCTATTCGCAGAGCCTCTTCCACTTGCCAGTCGGAGCCTACCAGTAGCAGTAGTAGTAGTAGTAGTAGTAGTAGTAGTAGTAGTAGTAGTAGTAGTAGTAGTAGTAGTAGTCGTAGTAGTAGTAGTATGGAGTAAGACTAGCAGTAACAGCAACAGCACTGGACGCAGAACGCTTCCACACAATGGAGGCAAGCTGGCTCTGCCAAATAAGCCATCATCATCACCGTGCCGTGTGGAATCTGACTCTCGGCCTTCTCGCGCATGCCTGCTGCTCCGAAGACCTGTCAACTGTAAGACTCTGGCCTGGTCATGTTATTACTATGCTTATTATAAGTATTACTGCTTATCATTACCATTAGTTTTGTTAGTAAGATTTTTATTGAACCCAAGATCCCAGAGTCTCCCAAAGGCCGAGCGGCGGCCGCGACTCCGTTGCTTCTTCTTGCTCCGCGCTGGAGACCTCTGCAGGGCAAGAAGCTGAGGGGGGGAAAACCCCAAGTGTTTGTAATAATTAGAATAGGGTTTTGGGGTATATTAAACTATAACTAAAATGCACGTGATCTACAACGTGTTGGGGTCTCTCTTTAAGGCCATCGAAAGCCGCTAGAAATCGCCGCCGTCGATCTGAGCTCTTAAGGGACCCGGACAGAAACCGCCTTGCGGGAAGAGCATGCATGCCATCTGCACCATAGGCGGGAAAATGCATCGGCTTAGCAACGACAGTCCAGCCCCCAATACTGCTAATCGCAACTGCGTGGCTTCTTCCGCTGGGTCTGACGGCGGCTGCGACGGCTACGGCTGCGGCTGCGGACCTCTCAAATCTGACATTGAGCTGGAGGAGTTCTCTTTGCTGTCCCTCCTGGCAAGAAACAGTACCCACATCATATGACATTGGGAGAGGTACAGCCGTATTTCGTGGTACCTGCATTACCTGCTGCAGTGGATGAACTTCTACACAACAACAGGGAATAGGTGATCTTCTGTAAGGCTCATAGCTTGCAGTGGCAACAAGCAAGCAGCAACAATAGTGCTGACAATGTTTGACAATAGTACGGACAGGAAGGATACTAAAGCCAAGCTTGAAGCTGATAGCCGCCAGTACGTTGGCAACAGCAACGCAACAGAAACCAAGCTTAAACAGCAAGAGACGAATCAACTCTGACCAGTAGAAACCTGCCGGGTTTTCAATGGGGGCCACATCAGAAAAGGCAGCCTTTCGCTGCGCAGCGCGGTCCGGCTCGCGTCCTAAGATCGAGATAGGGCCGGATGTATGAGAGCTCGCTATTTCCAGGTCTCAGACTTCTGGATTCTGACGCTTGGAGCTCCACGACTTTCGCCCTCGACACAACTAGTCACTAGTCGAAACCTTAATGGTCTGCCAGCGCTTCCACTTCCACGAGGACAGGGCATGACAGGGTCTGCATGACTGCTTCCACAAACGGAACTGGCTACTCAAATTACTTTACATGAACTCCAAGGCCAAACCTCCACTCCCGCCCTGAAGACCCTACAAAAATGCGCAAATCCGAGGCAGTGCGGCTTGCACAACTCAACAGCCGGGATCCAGACTGGTGGAGGCCGGCTGCTGCTGCTGCGGCTGTGGCTGTGGTTGCTGCTGCTGCCGCACCCTTAGCTTTTCATGTGCAGTCTTCAGATCTAGGTCTAAAGATTGCGGTTCTGGGGTGTCGGAGTCCGTAATCGTAGATAGTACGTTGCAGGTAGCTACTAGTACTCACAGCACTGCTACAGGTAGGACAACTAGTACTGCTGGCCCTGCTGCTGCTGCTACTACCTCCTACGAACTTCCTGCTACCTGCTAAAGTATTGGCAATTAGGGTTTAAGGTTTTTTTTAGAGTTTAGGGTCTAAGGTGTTTTTAGGGTTTAAGGTTGTTTAAGGTTTGGCAAGCGATCTTCTTTGAGCCAAGGCCTGGGCTTCGCATTGACTTTCTGCACGATGGCCTCGCGCCTGTCGCATAGAAAAGCATCGTGTAGTATAGTATCGCATTATATCGTATCATATACTTATATAGTATAGTATAGGAGAGTAGAGTCTAGTAGAGTCAAGTAGAGTATAGTAGAGTCTAGCAGAGTAGAGTACGGTGTAGTTCGGTTTTTGCTTCAAGAAGCAAAGCTTAGGGTTCAGGGCTGATCTAGCTGCATCACGGAGGTCGGCTGAAGTGCTTGACAGAGACGGCGGCTCGAGGTTCGAAACTTCACAGGACGCACATATTTGCAGCGAATTCAGGCCGATAGCCGGATGGAAGACTTGTCGATGCCCCTTGGAGACATGTGCAGCCTTGTGGCTTATCCAGTAGAAAGTCGCGAACAGTACAATCGACACTCTGTGGATGCGCACACTCCCGCACACACAAAGTCCGGAGACCACAGACCTCGTGTTCCAAGAAACTGCAAGCTTCAACCCGACATGTTGAGCAGGCTGGGCATTCAGTACAGAAATCCGTTGTGCGCAGTGGCCTCCGTGCCAGCTCTTGCCACTCCGCCACAGGGAGGAAAGCCTCCAAGCAAAAGCTTTGTGCTCCGTCCTAGGCCTTCGGACTCGATTTCGGAATCTGGAACCCTCTAAAGCAGTTTCCGGCAGTTTTTGTCCTACTTCGGACGTTGGCCTGGAGCTGCTTCTAGGTTGATGACACAGCGCGTCGGCAAAACTGTAATCAAAGACTTCCATGAAGGCTCAAGCAGTTTCACATCCGTACCGGCGTGCGCTGCACATGTCTGCACCTGTTCCGACTGTTTTGCTGGCACCACGCATCGCACCTCCGACCGCGCAGGGACCGCCAAGAGGTCCACCTGACCATGCAAAGAGGGAAAACAGAACCCTCGAAGCTCCGTCTCCAAGTATCACAAGCTCTTATTGGCTTAAATCAATTCGGCCCGGAACCCAGATGCTCGGGGCATACAGTGCAAACGCCTCGGAGCCCGCGTCCGACCGGCAAGGTCCACACTAGTTCAAGGTCTGAACTCCGACAGCTAGAACGGTTAGGTCATCGGAGGTCACGTGCATTGCCATGAAATCCCATGTTAACACACAAGCGCGGCACCGTCATGTCGGACTTCAGACTTTCCACCACACAGTCCTGATCCTCTTGAAACTTCGCCTGCACCGTGGGATGCCCGGAGTTTCTGCTGTACTGCTACTGCTGTTGCTACTGCTACTGCTACTGCTACTGCTACTGCTACTGCTACTGCTACTGCTACTGCTACTACTACTCCTACTACTACTACTACTACTACTACTACTACTCCTACTGCGTGGGGGATTGATCTCGACTTGGTTGCTGCTCTCCCCACCAGAGCTGTAATGAATGTAGGTGTGGTTGGCTTGCACTCTCCACAGACTGGACCCTGTCTCTCCCTCTTACTTCCACACGTGCAATCCTATGCAGGCAGAACCGGCGGCCGTTCCTTTTGCACTCACTGCCGGCGGCGGTTCGTCTGTGCAACGGGATAGCTCTGATTGCTCAGGATAGAAGACACATATAGCACTTAGCTATGGGCATTGACTTGAGCCAAACGTTGCGTTGGCGGTCACATAGAAAGGTAAAGATGAGGGATGCGTAGCATGCCCCCTTAGAGTCGAGGGACGCGTAGCGTGCCCCTTCTCTTGCACTTTACACGGTCTTGCTCACAGCTCTTATAGTGACACCTTAGAACTTGACAAGGCATCGCAGTCCGTTCGCACCCCCCATGAGTTGCGTCTCCGACGCTGCTCACCCGGAAGATGGCACGATAGGACAACAGAAAATGTTCCGCCGCAACGTTGACATTGAAAATCAGAGCTTTGCATCCCAATTAGAAACGTTGTGACACTCATCTACGTCAGTAACGATCCCCTGAAATGGCAAACGAATCAGGCGTCACCGAAGAAAGAAGCATTCGCGATGGCATTCCATGGGCGAAGCTCAGAGGTCACGAACTGATAGGCGAGGAAGACCAAGCGTTGATTCATCTCCATCTTCGCGTGGTCGCAGGATCGCGGTCCCAGGGCCGGAGGTTTTCCTCTGGATACTGTTCCCGATGCTTTCCCTTGTCCTTGCCTTTGTTTCGGCCTTTGCCGGCGGTGTAGTCGTAGTAGGAGTTGGAGTTCCAGCCTCCATGCTGCTCACCTCCGGTTCTCCCACGCCCTTTTGAAGGTCCCTTGGCCGAAGAAGCGCTTTCACGTTCCTCCGTAGTGACAGGCGTGTCCAGGATGGAAGTACCACCTGGAGGGAGATAGTCAGCGGCCGAAATGTGGTGTAGGGCTTCAGTACGCTTGGTCGTCGGGTTTTGCTGTCTCTCAGCCTTGGATCTGTTCAATCTGTCCATGAAATGCGCAGGCATTTGCACACTGTGGTCCACCAGCAAGCCGATGGTCTGGACTGACTGATCAGAATGAGTCAGCAGAATACCGACGGGGTCGATGTACAAGAAGTCCACTGGTCCAGTTGGCGTTGGTCGTAGCACTGAGAATTGTTGGTGTCCCGTCACCATTGGAATCACCTCGCACAGGACGTTCAGGCAACAAAAGTGCATAGCCTTCACATCTTCATCCCTTTCGCTCTTCAAGTAAGTAGTAGGGTTGAAGTTGTCCCTGCCAATTCCCATCATGTTGGCTCCCCGTGTAAGCAACGAAAGCATCTGGTTCGTCCGGAAGCGCTTCAAGGTGTAAGTCCCGTTGGGATCATACTGCTTGAGGTTCTCAGGCTCCTTGGCAAAGCGAATGATCTCCTCATCAGTCACATCCTTGCTCACACCCGTTTCCCTATCCACTGCCGCCAAAGATCCCCACTTTCCAAGCACATCATAGCGTTGGCCAAGTGCGAAACTTTCCCTCATCTGAAACAACGGCATAGTCGCCCACTTTGCGAATCCTGACCAAGCCTTGTAGATGGATCTGCATACCACGTATGCCATGTACGAAAGAGCGGTCATGTTCGCGTCAATGCAATGGGCATTTCGCTTTCCAGAATAGTAGGATGGCTGCATGGCGGTACGTGCAAGTTGTAGCTCAGGATCGATGTTCAAAGACTGGCCGGTAACGAAGACGGGACGACGTTCCTGTGCAATTGCTTCTGGTACTGCGTCATCAAAGTCCTCTCCTGGCTCTATGTCCATTTCTTCATCAGGTTCCTGTTCTGGATCGTCCTCCGCGATGACAGATGGTTCTGGGATTTCCTCAGGTTCCGCAACGGTCTCTACCTCCATGGCTTCCTGCTCCTCTTCGGGCGCCTCAGGCACTGCGGCGCTGCGGCTTCCATTGTCTGAGCAATGAAGTCACTGGGGATCTCCGTAGGAGTCTCCCGTTGTGGAGAACCTTGGTAATATCCGCTCGAAACGAACTGTGACCAGCAAGACGTGCATCGGGAGAAACATGCTGGAACGATGTTGTAGCATGCCGGGCATACCCTCATTCTCCGTCCATCCTCGTCTCTGCGTAGGTCTTCGGGTCGCCAATTCTTGATGACAAACTTGATTCCTTTGTCCATGTAGTGATGCCGAACCGTGTTCTCCCTGTGGGACTCCAGGACAGTCGTGAGGTCTCGAATGATCTGCTCCTTGCTTGTGTCGTGGGGTCCAGGAGGCATCTCGCAAAGCAATTCCATGATCTTGCTTGGCGTTCGGTATCTCTCGAACTCAGGAAGCAACGGTGATGCATTGTAGTCCAACACCAGCTCTTTCTCCAACCGTTCATCGTAGATCTTTTCCAC